CGCTTGCCAGACAGACAGAGAGAGACATAGAGACAGAAAGCGAGAAATCACCCCCCAGGGGGGATGACCACGCCGCAATCCCTTCTCCTCTGTTCTCCTCTCGGGATCTTGGGCACGCACGCACACGCACCCGGCGTGAGTTTTAAGCCACCGGGTCTGGGACACGAACCGCGGTCAACTACGTGGGAGTCCAGCGACATAGCCATTATGCTAACTGCTGGTCCCAACAAATTGCTTTTTAAAAGTGTTCCAAACTAGACGAATCCACTTCTGGGCAAGAACAATGTTTTATACTTCTTTTCGATCCCACTAATGTTAGCACAGTGCTGGAGCATTTTAAGGTTCCATTAGCTAGGATAAAATTGGTGTTTTAGCATAGAACTGATGATAAATAAGCTTTAGTCCTAACATTTACTTTCTCCAAACATCTGCCTTACAGGAAAACAACTTAAACTACTTCAAAATCTTTCGGCGAAAGTAGAGATCACAAACACCAAGGTGCTTGATTCTTTTATTTCTCCATCGGTTGCTACTGCTGTACTTTCCCCTAACAACACTTTCTTGCTTACGGACTCTGGAAGAGAAATTGCAAATGGAAAACCAGCCTTTTCAGGTATATTTGGGGAAATCACACGTTTTCCAAAGCTATAATCTGGACGTCTATTTCTGCCTTCTAAGGTAAGTGACTGGCTCTCTACTCACTATTCCACCAAAATATGTCTTCATTTTTCAAACTGGAATATTCTCTTAAAACACTGGATTACATTCACATGATAAATACAAGAACTGTGAATTCCATCAATATTTTTGCATTTGCTTACTGCAATACTAGTTAATACACCAGTTATCTTTTTACACATTGAGTAGTTCAACAAATGAACGCTTCTTTTAGTCCGAGGTTGTAAGTTCATACTTTACTGTAGAAAAACGTATGAAATTGAGCACTGACTTCTGAAATGGAAGATTGAAATTCCTTTTCCAACTTCTTTCAGTCCATCACTATTCCACGTGTTCCTGCTCTTGTCCTGGAATTAGCCACCGAATACTCTCCGTTCGAATGGTGGCATACATAATAAAACTAATTAAAAAGAATAAGGAAAATACAAGCAGCCAGTCCACACTTTTTATCAAAGTGCTGGGAAGAGGGCCTATTTGGTCAGCTTGAGTTACCACCACATTTTTCTTGGCTTCTATACCTGGAAGACAAATCAATTGTTTCAGATCAGATAGGAAAAGCATCGGCCACAGATCTTTTTCCTCACGTATTCAATATTATGCATGGTATGCAAAATGGCATGCAGTCCTAAAACAAACCGTGGTGCCTAGTATTATCTGGGAGGGAATTCACTTGCCTGTCAGTGTAATTTGTATCTTGCCTTTCTCCCCACCACATCAAAGGATCCGAATCCGTTCAGCTGCTCAAAGCTAAAACACTAGAATTTCTGTGAACCCATCAGAGATTTCTTAGTCAGTGCATTGTAAGAGCCGCCTTTTGTTCTCTGTGGAGACCAAAGTTCAACAAGGAACTGGTCAGGCTATTCTCAGGAGGCTACAGACTGTTTTCATAGGTTAAGTAATACTAAATTCCGAACGTTTTAAAATAACTTACTGAAAGAATTGTTAGAACAGCTAGCACCACTGGGATCCATGATTACGAAAGCTGCTGGGACTCCTAAATCGCATTTGCGTTCTAGGCTTTCTTCTCTTTTTTCTTTAAAGAATTATTTTATTTAACTTTTTTTTATTTAATTTCACCTTAGAGGGACAAAGTGAGAGAGAAAGAGAGAGAGAGAGAGAAGGAAAGTGAGAAAGCAAGCCACCAGGCCCAAGACTTGAACTGCAGTCGGCCATGTGGGAGTCCAGCACCCTTAACCACCGTGCCACCTGCTGGCCCCTCTAGGTTTTCTTGAAACATTGGACAAAATGGCTCCCTCTGCCACATCACCCTAAATGACAGTCAGGGATCCAGTACAAGACTTGGAAAAATAGTCCCCTCCTAATATCTCATTTGTACTTCTATACACGAACACAGTTCTTTGTTCTTCAGTGTTAGATAAAAGTGACTACACGTATGGAAGGCAAGTTATAATTTATCTTTATTTCCAATGAATATACTTCAGGAAGAAGTGGGATAACCATAAGTGCGGCATTGAAACATTTGAGGTACGAACTTTTCCACTGAAGTTAATTTCTTCAATTTATAATACTCAAACTTTTGTAATAATAAATAATAATAAGTAAAATTAAATTAAAAACATTTTAATAGCACCCACTGGGGCCAGCAAGTGACGTGGTGGTTAAGGTGCTGAACTTCCACATAGCCGACCAAGGTTTGAGTCCCAGACCTGGTAGCCTGCTTTTTCACTTTTCCTTTCTCTGTCTCTGTCTCTTTCTGGTGAGTACACATCCCCTATAGCAAGTTTTAAAAATCAATAAAAATTCTTTTTTTAATTAATTAATTAGTTATTATTATTTCACATGATATTACCAGAGAAAGACAAAGAGGGCGAGGGAGAGTGAAAAAGCAAGCTGGGGACTGGCAGGTGGAGTGGTGGTTAAGGGCACTGGATTCCCAAATAGCTGACCACAGTTCAAGTCCTGGACCTGACAGCTTGCTTTCTCACTTCTCTCTCTCTCTCTCTCTCTCTCTCTCTCAATCTGTCCCTCTCTGGTCAAATTAAAATAAATAAAGTTTGGGACCAGCAGATGGCATAATGGTTACATCGCTGGACTCCCATGTAGTTGACTGCAGTTCGAGTCCTGGACCCGGTAGCTTAAACTCGTGCCAGGCGTGTGTGCATGCCCAAGATCCCAAGAGGGGAATAGAGGAGAAAGGGAGTGTGGTATGGCCATACCCTGGGGCGGGTATGATTTCTGCTTTCTGTTCTCTGTCTCTCTCTCTGTCTTTCTGGTGAGCGCACACACCCTATAGCAAAAAAAACTCTCAAAATAAATAAATAAATAAAGTTAAATAAAATAATTCTTAATAAAAAAGCAAGCTGCCAGGTCCAGGATTCGAACTGCGGTCACCCATGTGGGAAGTCCAGCTCCTCAACCACCATGCCACCTGCTGTCCACTAAATAAGTAATTATTTCAAAAAAGAAAAAGAAAAAGTTCAGCTTAGAATCTTTTTTTTTTTAAGAGAGATTTCTTGCTATAGGGCATGTGCACTCACTGGAGAGACAAAGAGACGAGGAGGCAAAAAGCAAGAAATCACCTTTCAGGGGGTATGACCATGCCGCAATCCCTTCTCCATTCTCCTCTCAGAATTTTGAGCAGGCATTCACACTCATTCAGTGTGAGTTTTAACCTGCTGGGTCCGAGACTCAAACCACAGTAGATTATGTAAGAGCCCAGCGACATAACTATTACGCAATCTGCTGGTCCCTCAGCTTAGAATCTTAAATCCAGTCCAGGTAACAAACTGGAAGTTGAACAGAGATTTAAAAAAAAAAAAAAAAAAAAAAGGCACTTACAAATAGCTCAATAAATGGAACACAATACACGGCAACAAAAATGAACAAAACATAACCACACATAACCACACAGATGTATCACATAAAGATAATATGTTGGGTGAAATGAGCCAGACACAAAAGGAAACATACTGTATATCTCTACTAACATAAAATTCAAAGCAGGTAGCACTAGTCTATGGTTTGGGGAGTCAAAGTTGTTGGTTATATTTGGTTATCTTTGGTGGGAACAGTGGTGCTAAGGGAGGCTGGTGATATGCTGTTTCTTGGTCAGAGCACTGATTATGCAGGGTGTCCATTTTATGAAAATTCACCACCCCGGGACAGTAGTTGGCGTAATGGCTATGTCATTGGACTTCCATGTAGCCAACTGCAGTTCGAGTCCCAGACCCAGTGGTTTAAATTAACACCAGGCGCATGTGCATGCGTGCCCAAGATCCCAAGAGCAGAATGGAGGAGAAGGGATTGCGGCGTGACCATCCCCCCGGGGAGTGATTTCTCACTTTCTGTCTCTCTGTCTCTCTGTCTCTCTCTGCCTTTCTGGTGAACACATGTGCCCTATAGCAAAAACCTCTCATAAAAAAAAAAAAGAAGTAAAGAAAACTCATCACTCTGAACACCACTCAGTTTGCATATTTTTGTGTAAATATTACACTTAAGTGAAAATGTATATTAAAAGATACCTACAGATGAAACATATGGTATGTGAGTTATATTACAATAAAGCTTTTTTTAAGTTCATTAGAAAAGAATGTTTAGGGCCTGGAGGTAGCATGGAGGTTAAGGCAGCTGGATCCCACATGGCCAACTTTGGAGTTCAAGTCCTGGACCTGATGTGTTGAAAACCATGCTTGCTGGGTACATGTGCGTGCATGCCCAAAATCCTGAGAGGAAAATGGAGAAGGGACTGCAGCATGGCCATCCCCTCTGGAAGTGATTTCTCACTTTCCCTCTCTCTGTTTCTCTCCAGCATTAAGTTTTACATTTCAAAGTCAATCCTGACTCCTTTACTTGGGGTGAGGATTAAAGCAGATCAAAGCCCACAGAAGGCATATACCCCTAGCAATAAATATCTTCTTCCTTAGCTACATACCTGTCTGATTAAAAATGAAGATTTTCAGCGTTTCCAGCGTTCGATCTGTATGATTAAACCTAGCCATTGGTTTCGCTCCTTGAAATAACAAAATGTTAGGAACCGCGACGGTGCCAAACCTGGTAGAAAGGCTACAAGAGAAAGAAATGAGTCAGAAAACCTGAATTAGCAGTGGGCTTTCTCACGTAATTACCATATCGAAATAGACAGAAATAAGTGAACGAGGATCAGTTTCAGGTACCTAAGGAGATCTCTGAAAGTCCAACTCCAGGCGTTCAGCTTGCTCGGACCGCTTTCCTTAGGCTGGGCCTCCCTGCTCTGCACTCTGAGCTGCTCTCTAATCCAGCACAGCTCTACCCACGACACAATCACTGCACTATTTAAGTTGCTAACTGTCAAAGCTGACTGGACCAGAAAATTCGAATTCGTGGATAAAACACACTGTGACAATTTACTTGACAGAAGAAATTTCAAGCTCTTCAGAATGCCCGTCAAAAATGATCAACTTACAGTGAGCAATTACTTCGGTAAATTGGCACAAGGGAATATATGATCCACCAAACACACCAGGAAGGTCACAACCAGGGCAGGACAACGTGCAAGTAATGTGACGTGTGTGGGACTGCTTCCCCTGTGCATGATGCCGATGCCTGGGGACAAGCTCCGAAGTAAAAACACTCTGGGTTCAAGCCTCTGTCCTGCCACTGAGCCTGCGCCTCGTCCCTGCCACTGAGCCTGCATAAGCCACCATCTTCCCCGTAAGTAAAAGATTAATCCTGGATAATCAAGACTTTGTTTTTTGTTTTTGTTTTTGTTTGGAGAGGTTTTGCTATAGGGTGCATGCGCTCGCCAGAAAAACAGAGAGAGACAGAGAGACAGAGAGAAATCACCCCCCAGGGGGGATGGTCACGCCACAATCCCTTCTCCTCCATTCTCCTCTCAGGATCTTGGGCACGCACACACACGCGCCCAGTGTGAGTTTAAGCCACTAGGTCAGGGACTCGAACTGTGGTCGATTACATGGGAGTCCAGCAACATAGACATTACACTAACTGCTGGTCCCTGTCAGGACTTTTTTTTTAATTGTAAACATGGTACAACTTAAATCCTAACATAGGAGGCCACACCTACCTCAGCCAGTATGATAGTAAGTGACCTGTTCTCCATAATTAAAGCACTGAAATAGGCACTGCATGAAAAAACGAATGAAGGGAACCAGCAGTTAGCGTAATGGCTATGTCGCTGGACGCCCACGTAGTCGACCGCGGGTCGTGTCCCGGACCCGGTGGCTTAAAACTCACGCCGGGCGCGTGTGCGTGCGTGCCCAAGATCCTGAGAGGAGAATGGAGGAGAAGGGATTGCGGTGTGACCATCCCCCCTGGGGGGTGATTTCTCGCTTTCTGTCTCTATGTCTCTCTCTGTCTGTCTGGCGAGCGCACGCGTCCTACAGTGAAAATCGGGAAAAAAAAAAAAAAACGAATGAAGCAGTGGCTGGAAGCCTGCTGGGAGTGGAGAAGGAGAGGAGACAGTGCCAGACTCAGAACCGCAGAGTACCGAGTACTGCCGGGTCAAAGCTGGGCACTGAGGGACCAGCAGATGGCATAACTGTTATGTTGCCGGACTCCCACACAGTCAACCATGGTTCAAGTCCCAGACCTGCCAGCTTAAAACGCACACCAGGCACATGTGCATGTGTGCTCAAAATCTCAAGAGGAGAATGGAACAGAAGGGACTACGGTGTGGCCATCATCCCTTGGGTGTGACTTCTTGCTTTCTGTCTCTCTGGCAAGTGCATACACCCTATAGCAAAAATCTCTCAAAAAAGAGGCTGAACACTGACCTGAACTGTCCTTCCAATCAGGCTGTTCCCTTGGGCCAGGCCACCCACTTAGATATCTCCCTGAAGCCTGTATCAGAATTACTGATATATTAGAACCAGAAGTTGGTGTAATGGCTATGTCGCTGGACTCCCATGTAGTTGAAAGTAGTTTGAGTCCTGGACCCGGTGGCTTAAATTCATGCCGGGGGTGTGTGTGTGTGTGTGTGTGTGTGCCCAAAATCCGGAGAGGAAAATGGAGGAGAAGGGATTGTGGCATGGCCATCTTGCCCGGGGGATGAATTTTTTGCTTTCACTTTGTCTCTCTGGTAAGCACATGCACCCAATAGCAAAAATCTCTTTCTGGGACCAGCAGTTGGCGTAATAGCTATGTCACTGGACTCCCATGTAG